TCCTGGTCCACAGGCAGAGAGAGCAAGACTGGGTCTCAAGGTCCATGCTCAATGACACACTCCTCTGACAGGGCCACATCACCTGATCCTTCTAATCCTACCAAACAGTCCCACTCCCTGGTGACTAAGCAAGCATTCAAATATATGAGCCAGTAGAGGACATTCTTATTCAAACCCCATACTCATGGGCAACCTTGCAACATTGCTAGGGTAGTCAAACTCTAGCAGTCCTAGAGTTTCTGTCCTTCTCATCAGGCACTAACTTAATAAGAAGGAATCATGACTGGCACAGCAGCCAACCAAGGGACTGGAATTCACAGAAGTGGTCTCTTCTTTAGAAAAATGGGGGCAGTGAGTGATCTTATATAGGTCATGGGCCCCAAACTTAGCAGGCATAAAAATCATTTCTAGACTTTATTAAAAATAAACAAGTTTTATTTTAATAAACACAGCTATTTAAAAAAATGCATATTATGAATTTTCCAGGGAGCAGTAATGTAAAGGCTGTAGGAAGTGGAGTCTGGGCTTCCACTTTATGAGGACTCAGCAAAACAGTGGAAATGTGATTATGAGTGGTTTGTGAGAGATGTAGTCAGTCAGACTGCATAGCAAATGAGATATGACAAATAGATGCCGAGACTAGACAATTTCCAGCAGGAATGGAGCCGAGGCTGTGGAGTTACTGGTAAGGCTGGAGCTAGTCCTGATGGGCTAGACATTCACATAGGCATGGAGGGCCAATCAGGGTCATGGCCTGAGATCATGGGAGGAGGAAGGACTGAGGCTCAAGCTGCAGCCAAGGTCATCAACACCCAGAAATCTTTTCCAGCAGTGCTCAGTGTGGTGGCAGGAGTCTGATACTGATAGTAGCCTTGATTGTGGCAGTGTCTCTGGCTGGCTCTCTGCCTCAACCTCTACTCCTCCCCCACTTCACTAGGCAGCTCCTTAAAGCTATAAAGAGTCATAAGAACAGACACCCAGGCACCAAGTACATCTTTAGCCCTCTGAAGGCTGGATGCTCTTGGGGCAGGCTGGGCTAAAGTTGAAGCTAATTCTCAAGACCTTTTAGATCCTTTCTTACTGTTTACTCCTAGGGAGCTAGAGTTGCCGCTGGCAAGGAAAGAGTCCTTTTATAATGCCACAAGATTTCTACCCCATTGTAAGGAGAAAGTGATAGCACTATACCAAAGATAGAGTCAGTGCTAAGAGAAATGATCAGAATCTGGTGTCCAACCTGTTACCTGTTTTGTCTTATATCACTCAGGGATTTAGAGATAAACCCAAAATATGAAAGGGGAACTTGGAATTCTCATTTTTAAATGAATTCTGCCCAGCACATTTCTATAATTTTAAGGTAGTTTGGGGCTCATAAGCTCTTTAATCAGTTGGCACTCCTAAAAACTGCAAGAAAACAGCAGCAAGGAGAGAATGGGGATTTTGGTTAAGCTGCAGAGAGAAGGAATTGGTTATTAGCATGTATTTGAGGGAGGGGAATCAGGACCTTGGTGCATTCAGAGGGTAGACTGAGGTACCGCTGCAAGGAGAGGAAGAAGAAATAGAGAAGGGGCCACCTCAGGCATTCTCTTGCTCTCTGCTTTCAGAATTGTATTTCTTTTCTTTACTTCTTCTGCCTTGCAGCTGGGTCTGTTCCTGCTAGTTGCTTAAGGTTCAGCTTAACCATCATATCCTTCCCAGATTTGCCTCAGTATGGTTTGAAGCTTTGCATTGTGGGCTCTCACTGTTGTTTATGTATATATTTGCATTGGTCATCTATCTATCTATCTATCTATCTATCTATCTATCTATCTGTCTATATCTATCTATCTATATCTATCTATCTATCTATACCTATCTACCTACCTATCTATCTATCTATCTATCTATCTACCTACCTATCTATCTATCTATCATCTATCTATCTATTTATCTATCATCTATCTCTATCTATCTATATCTATCTATCTATCTATCTATCTACCTACCTACCTATCTATCTATCTATCACCTATCATCTATCTATCAATCATTTTGAGACAGGATCTCACTATGTAGCCCAGGCTGTTCTGGAACTCACTATGTAGACCAGGCTGGCCTTGAACTCAGAGATTTGCTTGCCTCTGCCTTTCAAGTTCTGGGATTAAATGCGAACACACTATGACTGGCTTGCATTGATTTGTTTATAGCCGGAAATAGCCCATAATCAGTTCTCACCCACCCCATGTTCTGCTCTCCCCTCCCTTAGTTCTGTGGATCAAAGCTAGGGCCTCATGCATGCCACATACTTAGCTATTATATCACTAAACTTACCCCAGGCCTTCAAACTATTAATTTCTTGCAATCAGGAAGGTAGGCTTCTTTCATGCTCTGTAAAATTGGTCTTTGCTCAGTTAGTTACTAAGAACTAGAGATATTTGTGATTCATCTGTCCCATCCCCAAATTATACCTCGTTAACAAAGTCTACCAATACTATTCAGATTGCTTAATTAAGGCTTCTGGTACAAACAAAGCTGCCAGGGGATTCAAACAATTGAAAATTCTCAGAATAATGTAGAAATACGCTACCAATTACAGATGATATAGGTGCCTCTCCCCAGTCAAAAGGATGACCAGGTGAATTTGAGAAACTTTTGCATCATTTTACATATATGTGCTAGCAAGAATGAGAACAAAGCAAAAACATCAAGTGAAGTTTTGCAGAAGGCAGCATTCCCATTCTCTTGTTGTGTATGGTAGACTGACCTAACTCTCTAAGTAGTATGAATACCCATTTCCTGTGATTTATAACATGTCTTGTTGAAAGCAACTATTTGGGTGTCATTTAACAGGATCATCTGTTACCCAGTTAGTAGACAGTTTCTCAATTCACCTCAATATTGAAGAGTTGACAAAGTTCTTTGAGGTTCTTGTATTCCAGAGTAATGCATCACTTTTATCATTAAAAAAAAAATTCTCAGGGAGTAAATGGTATACCTGTCTTTTTTTTTTTATTAACTGGGAAAGATGAAGCTATTGGAAAAGAGTTGGTAAATGAACTAGCAAGATGAATTGAATGTATTTCTCTACAAACACATAGGTTTTAGGAAACTACAGACATAAATTGAAGGTTCAGAAACCTGAACTGGCATTAACACTAAGTAAGAGTCTGACTATTTTTTAAGAACCCTATGGAGGAGCAGGGCAGTAGTGGCAAATGTCTTTAATCCCAGTACTGAGGAGGCAGAAGCTGGTGAATCTCTGAGTTCAAGGCCAGTCTGATCTACCGAGAGAGTTGTAGGATGGCAAGGGTACACACAGAAAAGAAAAGCCTTGCCTCGAAACCTTCCCCTGTCCCGCCCCCCCCCATAGGAATTTTATGGAGGATATACACTCAGACCAATCACTATGTAAACTTTTACACCATCTTATTGTAAACTTATTTACATTATCTTACAGGAGAGAGCTATTTCATGAAGTTAGGTTTCATTGGGTCAAGAATATGAAGCTGAGACCTGTCCTCTTAATTTTTAAAGGTGAATCATCTGTCTTAGATTGTCTTCTTAGTACTATTAATCACACTTGTTTTGTTTTTGAGACGGGTTTTTGCAGCTGGTTGGCTTCAAATTTGCTATGGAGATCAGGCTGGCCTTGAACTCACAGAAACCCACCAGTCTGTGCTTCCCCAATGCTGGGATTAAAGATCAGCACCACCAAGCTGGGCTAACTTCACACTTGAGGATCTGATAAGTATATATACTGATTTCCTTGGCCTCTTCAAAATTATTATTTAGGACCGTAAAAAGTAGGCGAGATATAAAGGCAAATGTTCAAGGTGTTTTTCACACACACACACACACACACACACACACACACACACACACACACACACACACACAGAGCTATACACTGTACCAATGAAAGCCAGGATAAGTCTCCCGCGAAGATTTCTCACCTGCGCCCCCCCCCCCCCCCCCACAGAGCTATACACTGTACCAATGAAAGCCAGGATAAGTCTCCCGCGAAGATTTCTCACCTGGCCCCCTATAGCCAGAGGCATCTGGAAGGGTCCAAAGTTACCTGGCCTTGACAGTGGGAGCGGTGGGAAAAGGGAGAGGAAGAGAGGACAAGCCGACCAAAAGAGGAGCTGAGGACCAAGAGATCAAGATCGAGCCAAGAGAGAATCAAGAAAGCGCGTTTGGCCAGTTCCAAAACGAGTTTTATTTTCGGAAATGTTTGTCTGGAGTTTCTGCTTGGACAAGCTCGGTATATTCCCAGCGCAACAGAAGGACAGAACGAATGGGTCTGATGTTCTGATGAGTAGGATGGTAAGACTGGGTGTTCCCGAGACTTTACAGGGCGCTGAGGGGAAACAGGAAAAGACGGAACACGCGAGACTGCCCCACCTTCTCAGAGCCCACCTAAAGGCTCGACGGTGCGATCCCGCCCCTATCCGTAGTACGCAGGCGCGTCTTCCTCCCCTGCCCTCGCCCCCCACCCAGGACGCCCCGCCTCTCCCGCAGCACGCAGGCGCATTCTCCTTGGCGCTCTCTGGGCGCCCAAGCCTCCTTTTCAGGGTGCTCCGCCCCGCCAATAGCACGCAGGCGCGTCTTCCGGGTAGCGCTCTCAGGCTCAGCCCCTTCCAGGAGCCCCGCCCCTTCCTTAGCACGCAGGCGCACTTTCCGGAGCGCCGTCTCAGGCCCCCGCCCCCTCTTAGGGCGCGTTCCCGCCTCTCCCGTAGCACGCAGGCGCATCTTTCGTGGGGCTCGCGCAGGCCCCTCCCCACCACCCCGCCCCCGCCGCCTTACCCTGCCCCGCCCCTAGGCGGTTGCTGGCGGCAGCCGCCGCCCTCCCTCGACCCAATGGCGCGGCTGCGGCGTCAGTAATGTGAAGCAGAGCACTGGCTTGTCCGGCCCCCGGGCCTGCAGCCCATTACACCATCGGCCGCCGCAGCCGCTGCATCCCGAACGGCCTGGGAGGGCGGGTGCAGATAGCTCCGCGGGGCGGGGCGGAGCGAGCAGCGCGGCCGGATTCATTCCTGTGGGGCGCGGGGCATGGAGGAGCTGTGCGGCCGCAGACGGAGCGGGGCAGTCCGGGCGACAGGGACAACGGTTTCCATTTGAAGGGGCGGCCGGAGCCGGAGCAGCGGACGGCGGGAGTACCAGCCCCGGGGCAGGTAGTGGTGGCTGCGGCCTGGGGCCCGGCGGCGAGGCCTGGGCGGGAGAGGGCGTCGGGGCGGAAGGCCGCCGGCGGGGTCGTGTGGGCCGCGGGCCCGGGGACCGGCTGGAGAGGTGGGGGCGAAGGTGACAGGGCGATCGCGGCCGCCGAGCCGTCGGCGGCGGACGAAGTTAAAAGCTGGAAGGCGGCCGGATTTCCTTAGCGCCTCTCGTAGTTTGAAGGGAAGAAAGCCTTTCCGGCGAGGTTTTAGGTTGAGCGGGCCGAGGGTTGGTGCGTCTGACCTTTTTGTTCCCTGTCGAAACCCATCCCGGCCACCATGAGGCCTTCCAGCCTCGCGCCCTTGGCGGGTTCTCTGCAGATGCAAGAAAGAAACATTTCTGAACCCGCCGCCGCCTCTCCTGCCTCTTTCGGTTACTCGCTGGGCGTGTGCAAAAGCCAAACCAGAACAAAGCTGGGGTGGCCAGAGTAGGACACGAGGAAACCGATCGCCTGTAGTGTTTCATTTTCTGCACATGGGGAGAAACTGCCTCCCTCCGTACAGTCTGGTCTCTGTGAAAACACATTTGTGTTTTCCTTTCGCCTCTCTTTTGAGGGGAGGGGGACAATCGTCCCTAAGGTACAGCCTTTTTCCTGTTTCTCCCCCCAAAATTATGAAATAGGGAAGCCCAAATCGTGTTTTTTTTGCCTTTACTTGTATGGAAAATTCTAAAACTGCTACTTTTTCTTAAATTTTTTTTTTTTTTTAAATTCTAGTTTGGTGCTCTGCTTCTCCGATGTTGGAATGCGATAGGACTGAACATACTCTCGGTGGTTTTATATCCGTTCTGGGGCGCGGTGACTAACATTGAACTTTGGCTCCTGTAACTTGCCTGCGTGGAGAGTTAAGCTGGAGCTTTGCTTTGAAGGATAAATAAAGCTCAGCCTCCCGACTGGACATAAATGGATCTAAAGACAGCCGTGTTCAACGCAGCGCGCGATGGCAAACTCCGGCTGCTCACCAAGTTGCTGGCTAGCAAATCTAAAGAGGAGGTTTCCTCCTTGATCTCGGAAAAAACAAATGGGGCCACCCCACTGTTGATGGCTGCCAGGTATGGGCACCTCGACATGGTGGAGTTCCTTCTAGAGCAGTGCAGTGCTTCCATAGAAGTTGGGGGCTCTGTCAATTTCGATGGGGAAACCATTGAGGGGGCCCCCCCTTTATGGGCCGCTTCTGCAGCAGGACATCTGAAGGTTGTCCAGTCTTTGTTAAATCACGGAGCATCTGTCAACAACACGACCTTAACCAATTCAACTCCTCTTCGAGCTGCGTGCTTCGACGGCCATTTGGAAATAGTGAAGTACCTTGTGGAACACAAAGCCGATTTGGAGGTGTCCAACCGACATGGGCATACATGCTTGATGATTTCATGCTACAAAGGACACAAAGAGATTGCTCAGTATTTACTTGAAAAGGGGGCAGATGTTAATAGAAAAAGTGTTAAAGGTGAGTACACCTTTTTTTTCTTTTAGGTGGCTGCCTCCTATTTTCAGGAAGTTTGATAACAATTTTTTTTAGCAACATTGTTGAGTAGGCCTATATTAACAGAACTGTGTTTATATTAGGTAACCTTTCCCGTATTTCCTTGACTCTGTTACTTGATAGTGCATTAAGCAAATGTGACAAATGTTTCCAGACTGTTAAACAACATTTTGTCTGTCTTCCCTAAGGTTACAGAGCTTATTATTGACAGGTGAACTGAACCATTCTGGCGCATAATTTGATCCATTTGGAAATATAGTGAAGAGTAATGCATTGTTTTGAACTTTTTAAAGAATTATTTTGGGGTAGTGAATCACCATCTTATTTATTCTAGGTGGGCATTTATTTGTTACTCTGTCATAAAAGGCTAGACCACACTGCCTTGAAAGGATTAAATCTGAAAGGGATATCTGTTCCCTATTCCACTTATTTGTGGCCAGTAGAAAATCCTTTTATGTAGAACATGTATTAAATGTAGCAAGACAGAAAATGGATTCGAAAGACCTGCTCAGGGCTGAAAAAGCTAAACCAGGACTAGGTTAAACCAGTGTGGATTTGTTGGCAACAATTTAAGGACCTTTATCAGGAAGAGCTTAGGTTTACAGAAGAGTATAACTTTCACAACAATAGGTTAGAAATTCTTCAGACCTTTAAAAGAGACTCTCTCTGCACAGTTTGATAACCTGAAGGTCTTAATTAAATCCACAGAGCAGTAGCTGTTAAAATTTAACAGTAGCATAAATCAGGTGAAGAAATCTTTCAAACATCATATATTGATTTGCATTGCTTACAGTGAAAAATGTTTTACTACCCCTGCATTCTCGACTTGTATAGAAGTCCACAGTCATTTATAGTTCGTTTCATTCTTCTAGAAATAGACTGCACCCCTCCCTCCTTGCTTTGCTTTTGCTGTTGGTTTACACTCCTACCCCTGAGTGAGAGTGTGTGTGAGTGAAAAGTGCAGGTGTGGGTGTTTGTGTGTCTATGTGCACACAAGTGCATCTTAATCCTAGATTATGTCATTTGATTTCAGCAAATATGGCTGGCTCATTTTTGTTTGATATAATTTTTCATTGAATGTATATAATGAATTGATCTAGGACTGCTAGGATAAATAATCCTGCTGTGAATATTTTTGAAGAAAAATGAGTTTTTGCATACTTCTGTGAGAAATAACTATTGTATGAAGCAAAGAATGTGCTGTGATAGAATGCAAACCATGCTGGGGGCACTGTATTGTTACTGAACATTTTTATAACAGTATTTTTTTTTCCTAAAAGGGTCTTATGAAGATGAAACAATACCATTGAGATTTTTTTTGACATTTTTCAGAGCAAATGTAAAAATCTTTAAAAAAAAATCCTAGTATTTAGACAATCCTTCCAAAGATACTTCTAAATTTTGTACAGATGTGTGTATGCAGTTTTATTTTATTTTTTGTTCTATAACTTGTTTTTTAGATTAGGAAGTATTTTTAAGTTCTTAATCATAGCTCCGTAATTTTGAGAACTTAGCACTCTTTGTACACGAATGAGATGGATGTGCTTGTTCATTTTTATAAAATAATTAAATCTTGTCAGGATAGTTGATACAACAGGGTATACAGTTTCTTTAGTGTTTTCCCTTTTTAAAAACTTTTTTCCTTTTATTAAAAATAGATTTTTTTTTTTCCTCACATACTATATCCTGATCATGGTTTCCTTCTCTCTACTTCTCCCTGTTCTTTTCCACTTGCCTCCCATCCAAATCCATTCCCTTCTGTCTCAGTAGCAAACAATCATGATTCTAAGGAACAATAATACAATAGTCTATAATAAAACAAAAACTAATATGTTAGAGTTGGACAGAAACAAATAAATAGAAGGAAAAGAAGCCTAGAAAAGGCACAAGAATAGAGACCCACTTGCACAATTGTGAATCCCATAAAAACACTAAACTGAAAGTCACAGTATATATGTAGAGGACCTGGTGTAGATCTGTACTTGCTGCCTCACTCTGAGATTATGTGCGTTGGTCATGTTGACTTAGAGGGCCTTGTTTTCATGCTTGTTCTCCATCTCCTCTGGCCCCTCAACTTGAGGGGAAAGATTTGGTGGAGACGTTCCATTTAGAGCTGAATGTTCCAAGGTTTCTCTGCATAATGTCTGTGGGACTCAGTATTTCTTTCCATCTGCAGGAGGAAGCTTCTCTGATGATGGCTGAGCAAGGCACTGATCTATGAGTATAGCAGAATATCATTAGGAGTCAAGGACAGGAGTATTTGGTTTTGCCCTAGGTCTTTGGGCTATCTAGTCTCAGGCTCATGGTCACCCAACCTGTGTTGGGTATGGGTTTAATCTCATGGATTGGGCCTTTAAGTGAAATCATACATTGATTGGTTACTTCCACAGGCTTTGTGCCACCATTGCACTGGCATATCTTGCAGGCAGGACACCATTGTAGATCAAACTGTTAATGGCTGGCTTGGTGTTTACATTTCTCTTTGGTAGAGTGCATAGTACTTTGTGGTACCAAAGATGCTAGAATATAGGTACCAGCTGACTTCTCCATGTCTATGAATTGTGTAGGTGTTGTCTTCAGTGAGGCTTTACCATCACTTCGTGGAGAGCAACATATAGTCTTGGCAACAGCCTGGGTTGTTTGGGGATTCCCATCGGACCCCCTTTGACCAACATTTCAGTTAGATGTAACCCAACCCCGGTGCTGGAAGCTTCGCTTGTTGACAAGAGATGGTCAGTTGGGGCTGTCTTCCCCATTTTTTGACTAGTTCATTGAGCTTGCCTTTGTTTATGTATGTAATTTAGGAAGCTTCTATTGTATTAGATTCCCATACTCCTCAAATGGCCCTTAATTTTAGCTGTCTCTCCCTATATTCCCCACTCATCCCCCTTCTCCCTTCTCCACTTGATCCTCCTGCTCCAGCCCACCCATCTGTCCATAGCTATCATTCCATTTCCCTTTCTTAATGAGACTTAGTGCTTCCCCCAGTCCCTTACTCTGCCTAACTTGTGTGGTTCTGTGGATAGTAGTTTGGCTATCATTGAATTAATAGCCATTATGCACATATAAGTGAATACATACTATATTTGTCTTTTTGTGTCTGAGTTACCTCACTCCGAATGATTTTTTTTTCTGTTTCCATTCTGCAAATTTCATGGTTTCATTTATTTTAATAGCTACATTTTTTCTTTCTTCTGTTGAGGGACATCTAAATTGTTTCCAATTTCTGGCTGTTATGAATAGAGCATCCTTTGGGTATATGTCCAAGAGTGGTATATATATAGATGGTAGGTTATTTCCCATCATCCCCAGGAACCGCGCTGATTTCATAATGGCTGTATAAGTTTGCACTCCCACTAGCAATGGATAAGTGTTCCCCTTACTCTGCATCCTCACCGTCATGAGCTATCACTTATTTTTATTGATTTTAGCCATTCTGATGGGCATAAGATGAAATCTCAAAGTATTTTGGTTCAAGATCTGCATACTTGCCTGGCAGTGGTGGTGCACACATTTAATCCCAGCACTCTGGAGGCAGAGGCAGGCAGATCTGAGTTTGAGGCCAGCTTGGTCCACAGAGCAAGTTCAGGATAACCACAGCTACACAGAAAAACCTTGTCTGAAAGAGCCAAAACCAAACCAAAACAAAACAACAGCAAAAAACCCTGTATGCTCTTCTAATGGAGCTTTACACTAATTCTGAGTTTTTGATGATAATCAAGTGTTTTTGTAAGCATCCGTCAGTATGTTTTCTTGTTTGTTCTTGATTGTCTTTACAGGTAGGTTGATGAGTTAAAAGACTAGACTTTTTTAATCCCAGTGAAGAATGTTTTATCATGTTAATATTGGAAATGCTTCAAGAGAATTAAAAAAAGTGTGGGGGGGTGGCTAAAAGATTTATCTTGGTGAGGCTTTATCGGTTTAATAATGTTCATGTTACTGATACAGCCAGGTGTTCAAGTCAAATTGGAGTATGTTTTAAATTCTTGAGTGGAGAGATGAGTACTGATACTATTTGCATTATATTTTCTAAACTTGATTTAAATACCTGTATAGAAACAAAAGGAATGGCTCCTTTCTCATTACCATTCTCATCTCATTATCACAGCTTTGTATGTGAGGATCTGTGCACTCGCTCTTTTGCCAGGTGATCTGCGAAGTCTGAGTCATATTTTCTTTGATATCAACATCTGATAGTCTTTTTAAGAAGACAACTAGGGCCAGGTGTTGGTAGCACATGCTTTTAATCCCAGCACTCAAGAGGCAGATGGATCTCTGAGTTTGAGGATAGCCTGGTCTACAGAAGAGTTCCAGGACAGCTAGGGCTACACAGAGAGACCCTGTCTCAGATCCTCCCACCTCCCAAAATAAGACAAATAGGGAAAGAGTTATTATACCAAATGTTTCATATACCTTCAATTTTTAATACATATACAGATTGTATCGTTTTGTGCATACTGTATTAACCTTTTTGTGAAGCCACTTCTTTTGGACCATGATTGTTTATGAATATTGGTGACAGATCCCAATATACACACTCTCACCCTCCTGGACTCTGATCCTGAAACTTTGATTCTTTGATAATTATTCTTTGATTGATCCTTAGGTTTTTTTTTGGGTGAGGATATGGGGGAAGGGGAAGTCACTGGTAGTTAGAAAGGAGGAACCACTTAAAACTGATGTATCATACCTGACTTAGCAGTGAAGAAGGATTTTCTTCCAAATTATAGCTCTACTTTAAAAATGATAAATTCTGATAAGACAAGGTGTAGACTAGAACAGTTTTCTTTTTAGTGGTGGTGGGGAACTCAAGGTCTCATGCATACTAGGCAAGTGCTCTACTCCTGAGCTACATCTTTGGACCAGTTTCTTATAACATATGTTGTGCATTGGAAAGTACTCTGAAAAAGAATACCAATAGGTTATGTTTGGTCTTACTTTAAAATACATGAGAGTCTTTCATT